GTTACAAGATGAAGAAAAAAAAACGGATTATAGCTAATATTGACTCATGATCTCAACTGTTGAAATGACTACAATCTCTACAAAACCCTTTCTGGTACTAATCAACATATGCTCACTAGTGACTGGCTTTAAGAGATATATCCTGGAGTTCTAGTGAGAAGCTGTGACCAGTGAGGTTCAACCGGGTCCGTTGTGAGGTAGCAAATCACTGATGACAATGGTGGATGTATCGCTCAGTTTCGTGGATTAGTTGAAGTTAGACATTAACACCGTTGGATTCCGGCCGGCTCAGTGGTCTAGTTGGTTAAGCGCCTGGCGCGAGATTGATAGGTCCTGGTTTCGAATGTTGCGAGGCGGGGTCGTGGATGTGCACTTCTGAGAAGTCTCACAATAGGACGAAACGGCCATCCAGTGCTTCGAGGATTTCCATGTTGATCTAGCTTCAGTTGACTCATGATCTCAACTATTGAAGTTACTACAATCTCCACAAAACCCCTTCTGATACTAATACTGAAATGTAAAGCAAGTATTTCATCTTATTTGAAACCTATTGAAACTTGAACTTAATATATCTTTCACTTTAAATATTCATCCGCTATCCATATGGAGATTTTACTTGAACATTTGGATTATCTGTTCTTGTTATCTAGATATTTCAACAAGTTATCTATTACTATTTGTTTTAATACATCATTATGTTTATTAATCATATAAACTATTTAGGTGAATTTCTGAAAAGTGTACAACCTTACGTTGTACAAATTAAAAAAGCCTAATCAAAGATTACGTGGTTGCTGATAATATACAGTGAAAAGAATGTACATTATTTGAATGTTGATTAACTGAACTGCTTATTTCTAACCGGTGATCACTCAATATTTATCGTCAGGATTGACTAAGAAGTAAGAAACGGAAACTTGTTGGAATACTTTGTGCTGAGATTCCAATATTGTACCAAAAAAAATATAATAGTGATAATGATAAAGTAATTAATATAAGATGAATACTAATTTGGGTAGTGGGTATAATGTTCCTAAGTAGGACTAGACGCCTCTTGTAGATAACACTTCCAGTCATAGTCAATTTATTTCATAAAAATTGTAATGGAAATACCATATATTTTAACTAAAGACTGATCAAAACTCAATTCACTTGGCATTGTTTGGCTTGTATCTTCCCATTGAGGTTTAAGACTGCAATTGATCAGTCTGTTATTGGCATATGCATACTGTGCGCATACCTCGATATTGCCTTAATTCACAAACTCTATATAAGCAATGATGGATAGTGCCTAGCACTGGAGGCATACGCACATTATGCACATATGCCAATAACAGACTGATCAATTGCAGTATTAAACTTCAATGGGAAGATACAAGTCAAACAATACCAAGTGAATTTCAGCTCACCCCATTGCACAAGCAAGTGGCTATAAGGACTCAGTAGCTGAGTGGATAACGCGATGGCGTTTGAAGCAAATGTTACTGCGTTCAAGTCCCAGAGTGAACACCAACTCTGAGATGCAGGTACATCTAGCTGACGAGTCCCGAATGGGACGAAACGCGCGTCCTGGATTCCACTGGTAGCCACTATCCATCATTGATCAAAACTCACTTCCTAATATTAATCATAGGGTAATTCATATTCCTACCAATAATTACATTAAATCAATTCTGTTTTGAAAATAGTTCAAAATATAATGTTAAGTTGATTGATAAATCTATTGAATAACCTATAGGCTATCAAACTAGAATACAAATATTGTTCAGTTATTCTCCTGAATCTACAGTAATGCTAACTACAATCATACAACTATTATACTTACATAACATTAGGTAAAAAGGTAAACAATCTAATGACTCTTTGGTATGGCCCATCCTATCTTGACCTAATGACCAATATTTCCTGGGTTATTTTTTTTTTAAAAACTAAGTTTTGAAGCAAATAAAGGTTAATGAGACAAAGTCATATTTAATGGGAACAAGGAAAGAAAGAACAATCCAAACATGACGTTACCAAGCTCGCAAATGTGCTATTTCTTTAAAATTTAGTTACCTTCGGAAGGTGGGGCTAGGAAAACAACTCACAATTTGAGAAATTGTCTTTATCAGTAGAGACATATTGAATGTCATTCAGTTACCTGGTTGGAATTTAGTGTTGTATTACTGAGTGTATGTATTAATCATAAATAGGGAATGAGCTTTATTTATTTGTCTTAGAAAAGTAATTCACATATAAATTATAGATCCTTGTGGTCTTTTAATTTAGTTGATATTACTAATTAAGAAAATGGAATCTACTAGTTAGAAATTCAAAAGATAGTCAGTCAGTCAGTCAGTAACAACGTAAAACTTCGTACGTACGTACATCAGTTCGAGTTGCCACACCACATTAGCACAGAGATGCAGTTGTCGATTCAAATCCCGTAGTGGTAGAGGTAATAAGAATATAAGCAGTAATCGGGAAGATTAGGGTTTGGAGATGTTATTTAAAGAGTATAATCCAGTGAAATAAATTTGGAAAGAGGAAAAAAAGGACATGAAGAATTCAGAAGATTCAAAAGATAACCTCTAAATGTTATGTAAATCAGTCACAAATATTACAGTTATTAGTATGGAATATATAACTAAAATCGAAATATGAACCGTATGTTTGGTAATATCTAAAACCTGAAAGACGTTAGGGTAATCAGATTTTATATTAGATTGTATCAACTTTCGATATACTAATCTATAGTAATATTCTATCCACTAAAAATCAAAAATTGGTTCTTTATAAATAATATAGCATGTTTGTAATTTTCTTGTTTACTTTTCAAATGAACATGTTTGTAATGAATTAATAGTTGAAACCATGAGTCAATTGAAGCTAGACTACCATGGAAAACCTGGAAGCGTTGGACGGCCAACTCGTCCTATTGTGGGACTCCTCAGTAGTGCGCATCCACGATCCCGTCTCCCGAAACATTCGAAACCAGGGCCTATCAGTCTCGCGCGCGCGACCGCTTAACCATTAGACCACTGAGTTGGCCGGCATCTAATGGTGTTAATGTCTAACTTCAACCAATCCACGAAGTTGCGCCACCATGTACCATTGTCTTCAGTGAGTTGATATCTCACAAAAGACCTGGTTGAAGTCCACTGGTAACGACTTCTCACTACAACTCCAGGAAATGCCTCTTGAAGTCAGTCACCAGTGAGCAGATTATTATTATCAGAAGGTGTTTTGTGGAGATTTTCACAAATTTCAATAGTTGAAATCATGAGTCAATTGAAGCTAGACCACTATGGAAAACCTGGAAGCATTGGACGGCCAACTCGTCCTATTGTGGGACTCCTCAGTAGTGCGCATCCACGATCCCACCTCGCTAGATTCGAACCGAGGACCTATCAGTTTGAGCCGGCATCCAACGGTGTTAATGTCTAGCTTCAACTCATCCATGAAATTGAGCGACACATCCACTATTGTCATCAGTGATTTGCTATCTCACAATGGACCCGGTTGAACTCCACTGGCCACTTCTCACCAGAGCTCGAGGAAATACGTCTTGGAGACCGTCATTAGTGAGCATATAGTCTTTTAATTTTATATTATACAATAGATTTGTTAATAAAATAGTCCAACTCTTAAGAATTAATTTATCAAACTGTATATTATAAATGATATTAAATAAAGAATCTAAAAAAAAAAGAATTTAATAATTGAATTCATGAGTCGATTAAAGCTAGACCACCATGAGAAACCTGAAACAATGATCTCATTCGAATCCCGTGAGCGAGAGCTCACTGTTGAAGAATCCCATACTAGGACGAAATAGCTGTCCAGTGCTTCCAAGTTACCCATCATTATTACTATTAAATTACTACAATTTCCACAAAACCCCCTTTGTGATAAAAAAATGAATGTTTTGAATTTATTTCATGTAATCAATCTATACTTTCTTCGACTGATCTTTGAATATGAGGAAAAAGAAGCTTCATTGAAAGACCTACATACTTGACTTCTCATCAACAGATGAATCGGTATTATAAAAAAACATTGAATTAGTCTATCATAATAATTCATTATTTATATGAAGGAAAATAGGTTATGATAGGCTTTACAAAATTTCTCTAGAATTCACTTGGTATTATTTGGCTTGTATCTTCCTATTGAGGTTTAAGACTGCAATTGATCAGTCTGTTATTGGCATATGTGTATCCTGTGTGTATACCTCGATATTACCTTAATTCACAAACTCTATATAAGCAATGATGGATAGTAGCTAGCAGTAGAATCCAGGAAACGCACGTCTTGGATTCCACTGTTAGCCACTATCCATCTTTGCATAAAAAGTCTCTCTAGAATTGTTCATGAATATTATTTCCTTACAGAATTATTCATTTAGTTTTTTTTTTCAAGAATGTTTATCAAATAGCAACTCTCCTACAATGAATTTCGATGATGGTTAAATCTTGTTAAGCCTTTTTATTAACTCATTTAACAGACAATGTTATTCGAACAGTAACAATTCACATATTACTTTATATTATTATGATCACTATTATATCTATATGAATGTGTACTTTTGATCACATGTGACAGCCTACACATATATTTCGCTCTGGATTAAATGTTACTGAATATATATATGCTCGAAACCTACCAATTGCCTTTGCCTTACCTAGCTACTCCTTGATTCGATTTGATTATAAATTCGCCTCTGTATTCGCTAGCACACACACACACACGTGCACACATTCGCCTCTCTGCTTCAAGTTCACTTAATGTGTTTATAACTTTGTTATCCGTGTAATCCATGAATAAACTATAGTTGCCGCTTCTCATTACCTTTTGATTTCAAACATCGTTTGAAACGGTTATCAAAGTGACTGATCAACGAAGCTAAGCCACTACAATCATGCATAATTATAAATTTAAACAAATGAAAGATTTACATAAAATATTACAAGAAGTTTATATCTGGAATGTTCATAGTTACAGTGTATACAATAACTTACCCTACTTGCCCTCTATAAGGATGAGATGATGTATTGTTTGATGCCCAATTTAAATTACTTAATTTAGATATATTCTCTGCACAATCATTTAAATTTCTTGTATAAGATGACATTGTTAATGGACTTGTTTGATTTGATGATAAATTAGGTATTACAGAGGGAAATGTTATAGGATTATTATTACTTTCATTAATTGTAGTAAGAATAGATGAATGAAATGAAGGTATAGTATGTTGACCATTTAATAAATGTTCTCCAGTGACTGTAGCAATAGCATTGTTATTATTACTACTACTAATATGTGATGAACTCCTGTGTGGATTAGTTAAACCATTATTGTTAGTAGTATTATTAGTAGTATTATTATTATTACTAAAATTATCACTACTATTATTCGATGATGAACTTGTATTCATATTTGATTTATGCAAATAATCAACAACATTTTCTCGATTCAATATTGAATGATGTAACATTTCATGTTCATTATTTGGATCAAATTGATCTGTAACTTTAGAATGAATATTCATATAATCATTATAACATGGTAAACGATTAAATGAAAATGATGGGAAATAATTATGTAAAGGTGATATAGACTGACAAGTAGTATCATTATGATTTAATTGTAAACTATTCAATTGATAGGAAGATTGATATTGATCAATAGTATTATTACTAGTATTATTATTATTATTACTTTGATAATTCAAATGATACTGATGAGGATATTGAAAACGAGGCCGAAATCCTGTAAATTTATAATTAGAATTATGTTGTAAATGAATATTATTATTTGATTCATTTATAGGGAAATTATTCTCTTGTTTTTTAGTATGAAGAGCTTCATTTGATGTAAGTGCACTATTATTATTATTATTAATTTCAAATTCTATAGAATGAAATAATGATGTAGACGAAGTTGATATAGATGGTGTACACACAGATGAAGTAGTAGTAGTAGTAGTCAATATAATTGTATTATCTATATGATGTAATTTAGATTGATTTAAAGCATTATCTGATTTTTCTGTTAATGAATTTATACAATTCAATTCATTTGAAGAAGAAATTCTAGATTTTTTTATTAATGGCATCATATCTGTTGATTCATGATTAGGTGAATAGTAAGTTGAGTGATCATGATCATGATGTTGATGATGCTGCTTCTGCTGCTGCTGCTGATGATGATGACGAGGAGGAGGATCCTGATGAGGAGGAGGTGGCGGTGGTGGTGGTGGAGCAGAAGGATGATCTTTATCAGTTATCTCATTTAAATACAATGTATCACATTCTCTATTTTCATAATCCGATTGTTTATCAATAGGTTTATAAACAGTTAAATGTGAATAAGATTTTTCTGATATTTCAATTGGATTATAACATTTTGTTTGTTCCCTATTTTCATGATCCACATCATCATCATCATCATCATTATCATCATCATCATCATGATCACTGTCATTATCATCATGGATACAATGATTATCATGATCATTAACATTGGAAACAATTAGATTTAATTTATTCTTTAATTCATATGATGATTTTATTGGATATAATTTATTGGTAACATTATTCTCTATTAATTGAGTACAATATTCATTAGGATTTAATAAATCATTAAATAGAATACGATTTGTATCATCATATGTTGATAATGGTGATGAAGATTTCGGTCGATTAAATGATAATGATGGTGAAGATGATGAAGATGATGTTGAATGAATCAATAAATTACCTTTATTCTCATAAGAATCAATTGATTTTGTTGTTAATTTTAAATTATCTGAATGAATATCAGAACAATTGAATTCAGTAATTGTTAAATTAGTAGTAGTATGTAATTGATTTTGCTTGAAGGATTCTTGTGGAATACAAGTGATCTAAATGAATAGAATTAAAGATTAAACTATAATAATATTGTTACTTATAAGTGATATTATCCTGTATATTCAATAAATTCTTCCTATTCATGTTTAAGGCGGCAATCGATTAGTCTCTTATTGACATAAGTGCATGCTGTGAGGATTGTCGCAATAAGTTACAAGCATTATAAGCAAATATAAATGATGGCCCAAATAGGACGAAACGCACATTCTTGATTCAACTACTGTTCACCATCCATCTTTGATTATCTGATGATTATATAGGGTCAGTAAAATGTCACTTAGTCGTAGTCAAATCATCCAGTAGTTGGGTCACTGAATATCGAACAAATTATCGATCCTCATCAAGGTCCAGTTAATCGTATGCCATAGACTTGCCCATGTGGCGATGGCGTTACTCCCGCTTATATCTACCTTAACTGATAAATTTTTGTAATAACATTTTCTATGTTATAGGGTCTTCAAAGCAGCCATAGTACTTTGATGCGTAGAAGGGATGATGCACGTCGGATGCTAGTCGCAAGGTGTGACTTTGAAGTTAGTTGTTTCGTTACACCATTCCCGTCTAACTTGAGTAGGCCTTCAATCATTCTACACAGATCATCTACCTTGGTGAATTACAATCGGTTTATATAACTTTTAAACTCTGCTACTGATTTATCACAGTAACTTGACAAATGAAATTCGCTATTTGAACAGATGGTTACAAAATCTGGATTTAAAGGATAAAATCAACAATGAATAAAAAGTCGAATGATTTGACTAGAATAAATCAAAGTTCATTTTCTGTTAAAGAAGCTTTGGAAGAAGTGGAGACCTTCACGTACTTCGATACTATAATCAATAAACAGGGAGGATCTGATGCAAACGTAAAGGAGAGGATTGGCAAAGTAAGGACAACATTCCTACAGTTCAAAAACATATGTAACTCGAAACAAACCGACATCAAGTTCACAAACTTAAAGACCAACATAAACACAGTGAGTTCTGTTGTGTGCAGCTGAAACTTCCAGAACTAATTCAACCCTCATCAAAAAGGTACAAGTGTTTATAAACAATTATCCATGCAAAATACTAAATGTCCGTTGGTCAGATACCATCAACAACAACCTACTATGTGAAAGAACAAACCAGCTTACAACTGTAGAGGAAATTAGCAAAAGACTTTGGATATAGACAGGAAATACATAGTGAAAATCAAACTGTATCACAAGGCAAATGCCAATTTGGAATTCTGAATGGAAACGAGAAAGTGGGAGGCCAAAGAACACACTGTGTCAGGAACTAGAGAGAGACATCAGAGTAATGAATGGCACTTGGAAACAACGGGGAAAGTTTGCTCAGGACAGAGTTTGATGGTGGTGAGCGGCCTCTGCTCTTTCAGAAGTGGTAATAGACGTAATTTAGTAAATAATTAAATTTTCTGTGTTGATTATCATTGTTAATCCCCTTAAAATATAGTCGCTTATATCGTACTTGTGTGAAGTAATCAGTAGTAAGAAGTTTAGTATGAAAGAATGAGCTTTATAAGCTCAAATACTTTCGTCATATTATACAATTGTCCAACAACATGCATTTACGACCCTTTCATCGATGGAACACAATGTTTACAACTTATTTAACGGGTTCCTAACAATTAAACTATCCGATTAACTACCTAATTCATAATAAATACTACTTATAGATTAAATTAATCTACTTAAACTCATTTCATCTAATTTGATTTCATTATATAAACTCATATTGATTGAAAACAAATGTTAAACGTGCTTAATCATGAATGATCTTCTTATTTATTGCGTAATATATATTGTTATAATGAAAGTTTCCATTATGCTATGATGTAATGGTTTACATTTTGAACTGATAAACATCTCTCCTATATATTATTATGAATAGATTTTAGTATAGAAACTAATCATTTAACATGTACCACCATTGAATTCAGTATAGTTTTAGTTAAACTATGAATTGAATGTTAAGAAAAATGAACTTCATCCCTAACAAAGATTATGTTTATGATAATTAATATTATAATCAACTGTTAACTGGTATTTGGTTACATTATTTATAAATACCCATTCGATGTAAAGAGAACAAATATTAGAAGGGGGGTTGTGGATGTGATAGTAAATTCAATAGTTGAGATCATAAGTCAATTAAAGGTAGACCATCATGGAAAACCTGAAAGTACTGGACGGCCAACTCGTCCTATTATTGAACTCCTCAGTAATGCGTACCCACGATCCCGCCTCGTAAGATTTCAATCCAGGACCTATCAGTCTCGTGGACAAACACTTAACCTCTAGACCACTGAGTCGGCCGACATCCAACGGTGTTAATGTCTAACTTCAACTAATCCAGGATATTGAGTGATACATCCATCATTGTCTTCAGTGAGTTACTATCTCACAACGGACCTGGTTGAACTCCACTGGTCACGGCTTTTCACTAGAACTCCAGGAAATACCTGTTGGAGACAGTCACTAGTGAGCATATGATGATTATAATCAGAGAGAGGTTTTGTGGATATTGTAGTAATTTTAATAGTTGAGATCGTGAGCCAATTGAAGCTAGATCACCATGGAAAGCCTGGAAGCAAAAATGTTATATGGAGAGCACCTCTGAGGAGTCCCACAATTGGACGAAACAGCCATTCAGCGCTCCCAGATTTTTCATGGTGATCTAGCTTTAATTGACTTATGATCTCAACTATTGAAATTACTACAATATCCACAAAAACCCCTTCAAATATGTTAAAGTTGGAATATTTATCCTAAACGATCTTGAATGATAATCATGCGGTATATGATAAATGGACTTAAGTTAAAAATCTAAATTCCTAGGTACCGTATCAGCGGTTCAGTAATATGAAAGCTACAGCTTCATCGATCATGGTGTTGAACTTTTAATCACTAGGTATAGGTACTAGCCGCACTTCTCCTACATCGATAGGAGTAATAAGATTACTAACCATTACATTTTTAGTGTGGTTTGAAGCCAAACATTCCAATATATACCTGATGAACAAGTTGAATAAGTAAGTAAATGAGACTTGGAATTTCTGCTTTTGAATTATGTCTTGGTCATGAATCCATAGAAGTTTCAATGGTTCACAAGCTGACGCTATACTTGTTAAAATTAATTTCTGTTGTAAAGCTACTAATTAATCTAATTTGTTTCCTATCCAATAATAGATATCATAATTAATGTTGTATAGATAAGTACTGTAAAGCATGTATTGAATTTCAGCTTAATTAATGATGATACACTAGGTTCATGGAAAATATACACTCAATGTATCACAATTGATTGATCACTGGGTGGTGATCAATCTCATGCTTGTCTAGTCCTAATTAGGGCAGATCGAATGCTATCGATCATGTTGCAATGTGGCCACCAGTCTAGGTGACTCGACACATTGCAACATGATCGATAGCATTCGATCTGCACTAATAAGGACTAGACAAGCATGAGATTGATCACCACCCAGTGATCAATCAATTGTGATTACATCTCAGTCCTACAGGAGGTTAGTCACGGCTCGGATAGCTCAGTGGTAACGTCTCTGATTGTGAAGCTGGGTGACACGAGATCGAATCGGCCAGGGAGCACCAGTTCCCTCAAGATTACAGGTACACCTTGCTGACGAGTGCCAAGTAGCACGAAACCCGGGTCCAGGGTTTTCTGTTGACTACCTCCAACCACCATCTAACACTCAGTGTATATCTTCCTTTGAATCTGTGGATTGTTTTATTGTGAAATTTTCTTTCTTCGATCTAATTTCTTCCTTTGAATGTATCACACATATTTAAGTACCCATTAAATCTTAAATCAATTGCTTAGCTTTACCTTTTATCTTGTAAGTTTCGTCTCGTTTTATGCCATCATAAATTGTGACAACTTGGACACATTTTCGTCAAGCCTAATTTTGATGACTCCCTCTCTAAGTCATCACGTACAAGTATGTATCATCAGCCAGTGTCATCAATGAATTATTTTCGTATTCCTGATATGGTTTCCGCCGAACATTGTGGCTTCTTAAAAAAATTATATGGTCTAAAGGATACGTCTTATCACTCTCATTCTGGATCATTTTCATCATGATCCGATATTCTGATGAAAACATATATGTATTATACGAAATCTCCACGATAATCCTATTGGATCTATTTAACATACTAAAAAGATAGGTTATCATATGATTAAATTTTAGGTTAACTGAAACACCTAATCGAAGTAACTTGATCTAGATTTTATTTTAAAGGAATGATTACATGTTAGTGATGGAAAGATTGGCTTTCACTAGACAAACTCTGGAAATTGGATATTACATGACTATTGCTTTGTTTAAATATAAGATTTCTGGGCAGTGTACATTCACAAACTTGCCGGTGATTAGATCTAGAATCTTCATGTGTTAACGTTAATAAGTGACTTACAGACAATTGAGTTGGCGTCTAAGTTAGAAATGTCAATCATTGAATACTAACTAATGAGTTTGAAAATCTCACCTTTACAGTGAATTTTGAATATCGCTGGTTCGAACTTATGGATGATGGATAGTATCCTTCAACAAAACAATCATCTAATGATTCTTCTTTTTCAGTGGTTGAGTAACTAAAATTAATCCGTGACATACACTCAAAAATGAATATTTCATTACTCTCTATTTGATTAAAGAGAATTATAACATCTATTTGAAGTACACCTATTAATAAATCGAAACAGTAAGGAATAAGAATATAGTATGAAAGTGTTTTCCTTTTATAACATTCCAATCATAAACCAATCAATGTTAGACAACCAATGAGAACCTGGAAGAATTCAGGATATGCATTGCCGAAGAGTCCTATATTAAGACGAAACAGGTATCCAGTTCTTCCAGGTTTCTAACGGTTATCTAATATTGATCGGTTCATGATTTTAATGAAACTCAACAATTTCCGCAATCCTATACTAAAACGAAACAATATAGTTCCATATCATTCCGATTC